GTACAGTCAATATAGGTAGGTATGTCATCAATATACACAATCAGTACAGTCAATATAGGTAGGTCTGTCATCAATATACACAATCAGTACAGTCAATATAGGTAGGTCTGTCATCAATATAAATCATCAGTACAGTCGATATAGATAGGTCTGTCATCAATATACATCATCAGTACAGTCAATATATATAGATCTGTCATCAATATACATCATCGGTACAGTCAATATAGGTAGGTCTGTCATCAATATACATCATCAGTCAATATAGATAGGTCTGTCATCAATATAAACTATGAGTCAATATAGATAAGTCTGTCATCAATATACATCATCAGTCAATATAGATAGGAGTACAGTCAATATAGATAGGTCTGTCATCAATATATATCATCAGTCAATTCAATATAGGTAGGTATGTCATCAATATACACAATCAGTACAGTCAATATGGGTAGGTCTGTCATCAATATACACAATCAGTACAGTCAATATGGGTAGGTCTGTCATCAATATACACAATCAGTCAATATAGATAGGCCTGTCATCAATATATATCATCAGTCAATATAGATAGGTCTGTCATCAATATACACAATCAGTCAATATAGATAGGTCTGTCATCAATATATATCATCAGTCAATATAGATAGGTCTGTCATCAATATAAACTATGAGTCAATATAGGTAGGTTTGTCAATAATAAACACAATCAGTCAATATAGATAGGTCTGTCATCGATATACATCATCAGTCAGTATAGATAGGTCTGTCATCAATATACATCATCAGTCAGTATAGATAGGGCTGTCATCAATATACATCATCAGTCAATATAGATAGGTCTGTCATCCATATACATCATCAGTCAATATAGATAGGTCTGTCATCCATATACATCATCAGTCAATATAGATAGGTCTGTCATCCATATACATCATCAGTCAATATAGATAGGTCTGTTATCAATATACATCATCAGTCAATATAGATAGGTATGTCATCAATATACATCATCAGTCAATATAGATAGGCCTGTCATTAATAAACACAATCAGTCAATATAGATAGGTCTGTCATCAATATACATTATCAGTACAGTCAATATAGATAGGTCTGTCATCAATATACATCATGAGTCAATATAGATAGGTCTGTCATCAATATACATTATCAGTACAGTCAATATAGATAGGTCTGTCATCAATATATATAATCAGTCAATATAGATAGGTCTGTCATCAATATAAACTATGAGTCAATATAGGTAGGTTTTTCAATAATAAACACAATCAGTCAATATAGATAGGTCTGTCATCGATATACATCATCAGTCAGTATAGATAGGTCTGTCATCAATATACATCATCAGTCAGTATAGATAGGTCTGTCATCAATATACATCATCAGTCAGTATAGATAGGGCTGTCATCAATATACATCATCAGTCAATATAGATAGGTTTGTTATCAATATACACCATCAGTCAATATAGATAGGTCTGTCATCAATATACATCATCAGTCAGTATAGATAGGTCTGTCATCAATATACATCATCAGTCAGTATAGATAGGTCTGTCATCAATATACATCATCAGTCAGTATAGATAGGGCTGTCATCAATATACATCATCAGTCAATATAGATAGGACTGTCATCAATATACATCATCAGTCAATATAGATAGGTCTGTCATCAATATATATAATCAGTCAATATAGATAGGTCTGTCATCAATATATATCATCAGTCAATAGAAACACGTGTCTTATAAGATATATTAGATACCAATCAAACAATATTTATCAATAATCCAAAAATACAATAACACATTACATATACGGTGACATGCAGTTACTAATATACATGTATCTCATTTGAAAAATAATATTTAAAATGGCCAGTTAACGTATTGTGTTTATCACAAGTTGGACACGCTTCGTCTCATCACAGTGGACATAACCAAGTCACAATTCCGGACCAAGCCGAGAATAGCCGTGTTATTATGGTTGAGATTGTTTGCCAGAAGTTTTTATTCTGGAACCAGTTTTTGATCTTAAAAAGTCTTCACACATTATTCCTTTTCTGTTGTTGGTATATATAGACATACGTTATGCACTATTGATGATATATCACATCATTATAATAAGTGTAATAAACAACATGTATCACCATGATTCAGCAGGATATATCAATATCATAAACAACATGGACAATACAAAGCCTAACCTCGCCACAGCAACTCGTGTATCAATGTACTCATTTACATAATAAAATGCATCATATTGTTTCTTAAATATGGCTAATCAACACAAAAGCAATGATGACCAACCATTTATATCAAAGTTTCCGTTTCTTCAAAATTCTTGTGCGTTGGTGAAATATTGCTTGTAGTGTACATGATATAAAACGAGGAGATACGATACAAGTATAGTACACACAATACAAGTGTACACGACATGTAGAGTACATACAATACAAGTGTACACTAGATGTAGAGTACACACAATACAAGTGTATACGACATGTAGAATATACACAATACAAGTGTACACGTCATGTAGAGTACATACAATACAAGTGTACACGACATGTAGAGTTCACACAATACAAGCGTACACGACATGTAGAGTACATACAATACAAGTGTACACGATATGTAGAGTACACACAATACAAGTGTATACGACATGTAGAATATACACAATACAAGTGAGCACGACATGTAGAGTACATACAATACAAGTGTACACGATATGTAGAGTACACACAATACAAGTGTATACGACATGTAGAATATACACAATACAAGTGTACACGACATGTAGAGTTCACACAATACAAGTGGACACGACATGTAGAGTTCACACAATCCAAGTGTACACGACATGTAGAGTACACACACTACAAGTGTACACGACATGTAGAGTACTTACAATACAAGTGTACACGACATGTAGAGGACATACAATACAAGTGTACACGACATGTAGAGTACAGACAATACAAGTGTACACGACATGTAGAATACACACAATACAAGTGTACACGACATGAAGAGTACATACAATACAAGTGTACACGATATGTAGAGTACACACAATACAAGTGTATACGACATGTAGAATATACACAATACAAGTGAGCACGACATGTAGAGTACATACAATACAAATGTAGACGACATGTAGAGTACACACAATACAAGTGTATACGACATGTAGAATATACACAATACAAGTGTACACGTCATGTAGAGTACATACAATACAAGTGTACACTAGATGTAGAGTACACACAATACAAGTGTATACGACATGTAGAATATACACAATACAAGTGTACACGTCATGTAGAGTACATACAATACAAGTGTGCACGACATGTAGAATATACACAATACAAGTGTACACGACATGTAGAGTTCACACAATACAAGTGGACACGACATGTAGAGTACATACAATACAAGCGTACACGACATGTAGAGTACATACAATACAAATGTAGACGACATGTAGAGTACACACAATACAAGTGTACACGACATGAAGAGTACACATAATACAAGTTTACACGACATGCAGGGTACACACAATTCAAGTGTACACGACATGCAGGGTACACACAATACAAGTGCGACAACCTTATGTAGGTCTTTCCATATGATTACATACTTTATAATTTCTCGCGATCCCATTGACAGGTTTTAAAATATTATATACTTGAATTTTCTCGCGATTAAATTGGCCGGTTTTAATACTATTATATACTTGAATTTTCTAGCGATCCCATTGGCCGGTTTTAATACTATTATAAACAAAGTACTTGAACATTTCTTGTGATCTCATTGGCCGGTTTCAATATTATTCTATACTTGAAAATTTCTCGCGATCTAGTTGGCCGGTTCCGTATGCAAGTCACCAGTTCTCAAAAACGCCTGTACACGGTTAACCAATGATTTCTATTTACATAACCTTTTGGGGAATACCGTACTCCTTTGTCTAATATAACAGTACATTTGATAAATAAATGTTCGAAGGGTTAACGATGTTTGGCTATAATTGGTCAGCATGACTGTTCTGTTCAGCCAAACTCCATGATTGGGAACCTACATTACTTTTATGTACATTAAAACATGACAAAAAACTAGCATCCATATAACCAAATTTAAAATGTTAGTCGTGTGTTATTAGTATTATTTTGAGACATATCATACAACAGTTATCGACTTCTGTGCTGGTTGTTTGGTGCGATATAACCAGGAAAAGTGATATCCTGGGCGCTACTTAGCACACCAACTCACATTGACACAAGTACATAAATGTGTGTTAAGGACTTCTTAATGTCTTAGTTCTGCCATGGATAATTTCGCTCGAGTGTTTATTAGTAACTATTGAATACATTCATTTTAATGGATAAGAGAGTTAGACAAGACAGGAATAACCTTTAAAAATCTGGAAAATATAAATAGTGTATACCAAAACGGAAAGGAAAATATAAATAGTGTATACCAAAACGGAAAGGAAAATATAAATAGTGTATACCAAAACGGTAAGGAAAATATAAATAGTGTATACCAAAACGGAAAGGAAAATATAGATAGTGTATACCAAAACGGAAAGGAAAATATAAATAGTGTATACCAAAACGGAAAGGAAAATATAAATAGTGTATACCAAAACGGAAAGGAAAATATAAATAGTGTATACCAAAACGGAAAGGAAAATATAAATAGTGTATACCAAAACGGAAAGGAAAATATAAATAGTGTATACCAAAACGGAAAGGAAAATATAAATAGTGTATACCAAAACGGAAAGGAAAATATAAATAGTGTATACCAAAACGGTAAGGAAAATATAAATAGTGTATACCAAAACGGAAAGGAAAATATAAATAGTGTATACCAAAACGGAAAGGAAAATTTTAAAACCTTTGCTTGGACTCATTGTTTGAATTGGTCCAACCAAAGTTACATGTACTTGGTATAAGGCGTTTATTATATTAGATAGACCATTGTCAATTAACATCTGTGTAATTGTCAATCACACAGGGATCGTTCGATATAGGTTACCACTTGACTGGTAAAGGGATACACCAGTTATGGGATGTAAAAAACTTATTTAATCAGTTCTGTTGTTTTCGAAGTATCGTATAAAACCGATAAATCTCAAGTGGTCTATCGTAAAGGGCATTGGGTTGTGGATGTCGCCATGTTGGTAGTGTTGAAGTTCAACACAAACAAAGTCGGCCTGATTGTGCCTGTTATCTGGCATGCAGTGTGGGCTTTTTTTCCGGTGGGAATTGTTCTGCGTTCAAGGTGACGTTTGAACAGTCATCATGGAACTGCTATGGATGCCGGGGAAACCTGGTCGCATTCTTGACGCGTGCGCAGTGAGTGCCACTGCGCAACCGGTGATCGGTGTGAGTTTAACATCCGGTTCCAGTGGGTGAACTCATGTGGGCCCGTGCCGTATTTGCCGATTACCACTCGACCCACGAAATCGTCCCGACTTTTGGAGTTATAATCCCACACCGTTATCACGATACTGGTGTTTTCCAACTGTTGTGGTGTCACGTTGAAACTGACCGATTCGTTGAAAACGGGATCAATATTATTTTTCTTGCAAGTAGTTTTCTTCGTCTTGATTGGTTTCTCAAAGTGTACCATGGTTACTTTTACGAACGGATCTGTTAATGTAAAAGTAATCACGTTATATAATGAGCTCATCATTGATATGGTGTGGTGGACATAGCCGAAATGAAGAAGGTTTTCTATCGCAATAGGACACGGTTGTAAACCAACGCCATAAACATGAACTGACGTAATTAGGTTGTGTTTAAGTCACGTCACCTAGCGTATGTAATGAGTAGCTTATGTTATCTCCCTTGACTACATGCTATTGGTAACATTTGCGACAATCCTACCAAACACTAAGGCTAACTGTAATTCTGGAAATAAGCCGATGTGAGTTGTAAAGCTAACTTTATGTCCATGCATCTCCATTGTGTTGGTCTATCGGACATACCGCCTGATCAACACGCACAGAGTGCTCCAGCTTCATCACTAAGACGTTATTTTGAATGTATTCCGATGTCAACATGAATATTTCATATGATAATGGCTGGTAATGCATTGTCTTGTAGCCCCTTGGTTGCTTTTATGTGTAGTGGGTACATTCCGAAGCCACACCAAACCAGGTTACTACTTAAAGGCTTTCTCGCTAAGGCCGGTGTTGTTTAAAGTGTACTGAGCTTACAATATATTAACCAGCTTTTAACAGGAATTTCCGAAAGCATTTCTGAGCGATATTTGAAAATTTACATGATGGTAATTTAAAAATCACCATACAACCCTCTAAATAAATAAATAAAAAAACACTGGCGACGCATTCCAGCTACAAGGAATGACTACCAATACCAGCTTCAAAACCTAGTTACACACACTAACAAGCAACACAAGTTATACACCACAACTACCAATACTAGTTACCAAACCTAGTTACACACACTAGCAAGCAACCAGCATGTTACCAATACTAGCTACCAAAATCAGCTACCAGTTCTACGCTAGACACATACAACAGTTACCACAACTAACTACCAACACTACCAGCATGTTACCAATACTAGCTACCAAAATCAATTACCAGTTCTACGCTAGACGCATACAACAGTTACCAAAACTAACTACCAACACTAGCTTTGCATAATATAATTTATGTTTCTGTATCAACGAGGCAGCTTGCTTCAGTATCAAACAATATCAATTTAACAAAACAATCATATTTTTTAATTTAAATTAATATTAATTCTTTCATTTTTGTTTTGAAAAGATAAATGGATAAAGAGATAAGGCAATTAAGTTGACTTCTGTATACCTGAGCCGCCGACCATGTCTGTCTGGAGGAGCTGTTTAGCCTTGATTACGTCGATGTTCAAACGTCCAGCGCTCGGCAGGTAGTTCAGCGATAGAAGAATCTCACCAAGGTCCTGTCGCTCCTGTAACAAATCCAACATATGTATTACTTACCCTCCTATCAAAGCATAGCTCCAACTCAATACTCTCCAACCAAAACCAACCATACTGTCAATAAATTAATCTCCAACCAAATCATATTAAAGCGCTGAAAAATGATAATAAATGGATCGGAAACAACATACATGACCAATTTTATATTTCCGGGTAATTTGAATATTCGAGTATCAATCATGTACCTTCGAAGGATCATGACACGTCAAATCGTATGTCACACTTTGACCTGATTTTGTTGAATTCTTAACATTATGTAAAACCTTTACAACAGCATGTATAAAGACAATCACGGAGTATTGCTGGAGTTTAAATTAATATGTACACAACAGAGATGTTCGGGTATAGACAAGCCCACAGATACACCACAGCCATGGAGGTTTTCTGGATTGTAGACAGCCATGGGGATTTTTCTGGATTGTAGACAGCCATGGAGGTTTTCTGGATTGTAGACAGCCATGGATGTTTTCTGTATTGTAGACAGCCATGGATGTTTTTTGGATTGTAGACAGCCTTGGGGATTTTTCTGGATCGTAGACAGCCATGGATGTTTCCTGGATTGTAGACAGACATGGGGATTTTGCTGATATAGAGGTTGCTGTGATATAGGCACTACAGCCATGGATGTTTCCTGGATTGTAGACAGCCTTGGGGATTTTTCTGGATCGTAGACAGCCATGGATGTTTTTTGGATTGTAGACAGCCTTCGGGATTTAGCTGAAATAAAGGTTGCTGTGATATAGGCACTACAGCCATGGATGTTTCCTGGATTGTAGACAGCCTTGGGGATTTTTCTGGATTGTAGTCAGCCATGGGGATTTTTCTGAAATAAAGGTTGCTGTTATATAGACACTACAGTTATGGATGTTTTCTGAATTGTAGACAGCCATGGATGTTTCCTGGATTGTAGACAGCCTTGGGGATTTTTCTGGATTGTAGGCAGCCATGGGGATTTTTCTGGATTGTAGACAGCCTTGGGGATTTTTCTGGATCGTAGACAGCCATGGATGTTTCCTGGATTGTAGACAGCCTTGGGGATTTTTCTGGATTGTAGTCAGCCATGGGGATTTTGCTGAAATAAAGGATGCTGTGATATAGACACTACATCCATGGATGTTTTCTGGATTGTAGACAGCCTTGGGGATTTTTCTGGATCGTAGACAGCCATGGATGTTTTTTGGATTGTAGACAGCCTTGGGGATTTTTCTGGATTGTAGGCAGCCATGGGGATTTTTCTGGATCGTAGACAGCCATGGATGTTTTTTGGATTGTAGACAGCCTTGGGGATTTTTCTGGATCGTAGACAGCCATGGATGTTCTCTGGATTGTAGCCAGCCATGGGGATTTTTCTGAAATAAAGGTTGCTCTGATATAGACACTACAGCAATGGATGTTTTCTGGTTTGTGGACAGCCATGGGGATTTTGCTGATATAGAGGTTGCTGTGATATAGGCACTACAGCCATGGAGGTTTTCTGGATTGTAGGCAGCCATGGGGATTTTGCTGAAATAAAGGTTGCTTTGATATAGACACTACAGTTATGGATGTTTTCTGAATTGTAGACAGCCATGGGGATTTTGCTGAAATAAAGGTAGCTGTGATATAGACAATACAGCCATGGATGTTTCCTGGATTGTAGACAGCCATGGGGATTTTGCTGAAATAAAGGTTGTTGTGATAAAGACACCATGTATACAGACATGGAGATTTTGCAGGAATGTGAACAATAATCGCCTCATACAACCATGTAAAGAGATCAATAACACATTCTGTCCGGAACAGGGAAATGCAACCTTAAATAGAGAACAGATTCTGTAAATTGTTAAGGAAGAAAAAGGAGAAGAAGAAAGAGAAGAAGAAAAAGAAGGCTGTGATCTTATTGGACAATCGTTGCTCAGCGTCTTTGTATCGAGTTAGAAATGCTTTGTTTGTATCGCCGCATTTATAACGTTACCAAAATGAGAAATAAAGGTATGTTAAGGTGTGTCAGTACAATATAAGGTTTGTATCCAGCCCCAAAAAGGTATGTTAAGGTGTGCCAGTACAATATAAGGTCTGTATCCAGCCCCAAAAAGGAATGTTAAGGTGTGTCAGTACCATATAAGGTCTGTATCCAGCCCCAAAAAGGAATGTTAAGGCGTGACAGTACAATATAAGGCCTGTATCCAGCCCCAAAAAGGTACGTTAAGGTGTGTCAGTACAATATAAGGTTTGTATCCAGCCCCAAAAAGGTATGTTAAGGTGTGTCACTACAATATCAGGTTTGTATCCAGCCCCAAAAAGGTATGTTAAGGTGTGTCAGTAAAATACAACGTTTGTATCCACCCCCAAAAACATAACTTCAACCTATTTTTCTTTAAATGCAAACTGTAAACACGTCTCTAGTATCTTTTTTTGAATGCTGCATGGTGTTTCCAAGTTCAGCCATTTTATTCATTTTTCGAATATCCGGTAGAATCATAATAAGTTCGAGGTGTTTTCATGACTGTGTAGGAAAAGTCTGCGAAAGTACGATTTTAAAGGGATAGCAGTCGTAGGGAAATTAGTTTCCCGCATATAGACAAAATATAGACTGAAACGTCAAACTACTTAAACAAGTAGAATAAGTTGGTCCTTATATGAAAAAAAACCTGGCATACATGTAAAAAATAACAAAAATATAACAACAACAAAACTGCCACCTTAAATGTAACGTGTGGACGATCACCCATTAAGTCATTGACCACGACCAACTGTGCTTAAACGAACCCCTGTCTCACTACACTGTTTTCCCTATGTACAGTACAACCTCCCACTAACCTTAGTACAGTCTGTACCTCGGTTACAGTACAACCTCCCCCTAACCTTAGTACAGTCTGTACCTCGGTTAGAGCGGTCGTATAGCGATTTAAATCACGGGTTTAGCCCTGCTGATCTTTACGCTCAGAAAACTGTTGTTGATTGTATTTTGTTTATTTTTATCTTTATTTTTTGAAAGTCCTGTAAGGTACGTCTTTCTCTATCAAAAACTAGTGTTTTACCTGAAAAAAATACAGTTTCCAATGAGTATGTACTATAGAAGTATGGTTGGCAAACATGTAGAAAGAACCATACGTATGTAAAGTTTACTTCAGCGACTATTTTACAGAAAAAAATCTTGGAATATTAACAGTCCGACATTGCAAATGTAATAAGGATAGCAGGTTAATCGTATCGTCACACGATGATCGACGTATTTACGGCAGGAATGTCCACTAAGTCATTCTGTAATGATTCCGTGTCAATCTAAATTGCGAAAATCACTGCATGGATACCAAATAACACATTGCCAATCGGGGAAATAGAATCTAAATTACCATGATATTACAGCTAGCAGGCAGGCATAAAATGCATTAAAATTATTATGTGTATACTACGCGGATAGCGGATAAGAAAGTGTGGTCACTTATCATCATTACATTTAAATGTTGTTATATCAGAATCTGGGTCGATTACTGTCAAATACACATTAATATATTATCAATATTTATTCATTTCCTCCCAACAGTATATCACGCTCACGATAATCAGACTACCGGACGCACTGGAGTATGTTATCTCAATATAGGGCACATTCTACAACGCACGCGATGTAACGAACTGTTTGATTGGTTAATAATCATGTTTAATTGTAGAATATATACGAGCGTGCATGTTATCCCCAACCAATAAACCATGCACGAGCGACGCATAACAAAAACATCTACCGTAGATCAAAGTAGTGTGCGTGACTGGTCTTGGGCATGCTTAAATTGTCCAGCGAGGGTACATACGTGCATGTACATACTTGGTATCTAACCGTTTCCAAATACGTCCATGTTTTAAACGAGCAGAACATGACCACTTGGTGCAGCAACGAAAAAAGCTGCGCGCGGCCTGTTGGCAAAATTGAAACAAACAGCACATGACATATGTTTGCACGTGCGCGAAACAAAGAATACACACACTATAAAAGTAATTGGATTATTTTGGTTAAGGCGCTGAGGTAGATGCACATCCCATTTAATTTTGACGTAAAGGGACATCATGAACATGTGAGTGTATATTACGGTGCAAAATATCAATAGGGATTTCAAAACATGATATATTAACTCTGGTCAATATAGACTGGGCTACGCTCTTTGACACTATTTTTAATTCAGAGGCGAAGCCTGGCGGAAAAAACAAACCTACATTAGAAAATCAAGTCAAAGACCAAAACGACCTTCGTGGATATTTATGTTTTCAATGGAAATTGATCTTGTAATCATACATTTACTGGTTTATCCTATATTTTATAAGGCATCTTTTAAATCTTATTTAGATAGGATACTTCTTCAAGCAAATCGACTATTCCAAACCCTTGACATACCTTATATAGAATGTATAGGTGTATATTGTATGTATCGTCTATAAGTCGAAAACGACGTGTTGATGGATTATTTCGTCTGGGAACGGCTTTCTTAAACTTCAATGTATCATCATGTTACATAAGTTTACCGAGAAGAATGATTGCTGTATCAATTTAAAAGCACATGGCATAAGAAAGTCGTCTGTCGTAATGTTAAAGAAATCGTTGTAAAATCAGAAAAAACGAAGAAAGCAACATTTTAAGAACCAAGAAAGCAACAATTTAAGCGTAAATGAGAACCGATTTTGTTTTAGATTTCCCCCACTGATTTACAGTAAGCAGTATATAAATTTGTAGGAGGGTGATGTATGGGGTTGTCCACTTTCATTGGTTTTAGAGTGAAAGAAAAATAGTCGTATAGATGTAAATCACAGAGTTGTTATGTTTTTGTCTTCTCATTGCTCACCCGAGGTCATATCAGGTGTTCCCTCGATTATCTGTGGGATTTGTTTTCTTACGACCAACCCATAACATTCTCCTTTTCACAAAATTAAATAAGATAACGGAAAAGTATACGAGATATATCACAAAGCATATACCTTATCTAGTATATAAGATATGTTATAACGCATATTCATTTTTTTTTTTAATTAAGAAACAATTGAACAAATATCGTGTAAAATCTCTTAAACTAAATTTTATGTAATTGTGTTAGAAAAGAAGTTAGATGTGATCATCATTGCCGATTGACCTAAAACAGAAGTTTGGTTACCTTAGTGCTAGGCATCAGTGGCTTCCACATGTGACCTCCCTTGATAAGGTTGATGTTGGCGAGAGGCAGGTACACCTGTCCGATGATACAATGTCGTGAAAATCTGTCAAAATCTTTGATGAGAATCTCAAGCGTCCTCATCTGGGCTTCGTGGAAAGGTATCTCAAACATGAAGTATTCGTTCCATGTAGGGTTCTGTGTTTTACGTTGTACGGAAGTCTGCTGTGAATTTTTCTGGTCTGGTAATAGACATACCTTACAGTAAGGATTTGAGTGAGCCATGTCTTGCTTGTTTTCATCTAAACAATATGGCGGCGGCAAATCCTTGGATTCAATCACCTTGACGACAAGAACTTTCGTGGAGACTTCGTATTGTAGACCGATATGTATCTGGCCGAGCTGAAACTTAGCTAATTTTTCTTCGTCCGTCAGACACGGCTCTGCATCTTCTTCCACTTCGTACAGATCTCTCTGGAAGTTTTCGATGCTAATTTCAGTTTCACTTGGAAGTCGTCGTCTCCCTTGACGCGGTTGAACGCTCTCTCTGTTTGCCGCCCAAAATTCTATTGGCTTCATATCAATGATCGGCGTGTTTATGCCTTTCCGGAAGTCTCCACTTATCTGAGAAGCAGACGACACAGAGTCCGTTCGGGAAGTCGCGGAATCTGACTCCAGACGATCCCGGAAACTTTTGTAGCTCTCGGCATATGAACTTGTGGAATCAAGCCTGGAGTTTGAATGTCGAAAGGAATGCTGAATGTCAGATTTGGTTAGTTTCTGCTTCTTTCCATTAAGACAACATTCACAGCAACCACCGTCTTGACAGCAGACGTACTCCACAATTTTCTGGGCACACATTTGCGACTAAAACAGAAACGAGGCATACATTAAAAAGGGGGATTAAATATTTATTTACTTCAACCAAGCCAAAAACCAAACGCCATTTCTCACACAGCGCAAAGAAGCTGGTAACTGGTTACTGTAATTTCTGAAAGGAATATATATGGACTTAACAGCGTTTTTAATTGGTCTGCAGATATGAACGAGAAAGCGTTTATGCTACAGAAGTCTATATACCGTTTGATTCCTGTGTGGATTTCACGTGATGTAACATATTAATGATATTACAGGAAATGCACTTGTAATTAAGACAACATTAACAGGACACTATGTGGAGACCAGAAAAGCAACATTCATACATACAAATAACCGTGATGTCATTTCACAAACAAGTCCATTTCTGAGAAGTAAACAAGATTCTTTAGTTTAAGAGCTTAATATTGCTGACATATGCATATAAGATGTCTTTGCGAGTATTGTGCCGATTGACAATGGGATGGTTGATACAGCGTGTTGCAGTGACAACGGGAACCACAGTGTCCAGATTATCAATGGTTCATACCTAGTGTTGTATTGACAATGGGAACCACAGTGTCCAGATTAACGATGGTTCATATCTAGTGTTGTATTGACGATTGAACCACAGTGTCCAGATTAACGATGGTTCATACCTAGTGTTGTATTGACAATGGGAACCGCAGTATCCAGATTAACGATGGTTCATACCTAGTGTTGTATTGACAATGGGAACCACAGTGTCCAGATTAACGATGGTTCATACCTAGTGTTGTATTGACAA